CTTCATCTCCAGCTCTACATTTGAAATGTTTTTGACCGGCGAACGACGAGCCACACTTGCGATATTTACCTGCAACTTGGATAATTAGGTATAATTATTATTACTATTATTGTAATATTTATAATAACGGTTAACCATTCTTACTTCCTGATCTTATCTTTCATTGCGATCTTCCAGTTTTTTTACCAACTCAGTACCCAGGGTTGACCTGGTTGCCGCAATCTAATTATTATCAACACTGCTATATCAGCCTAGTTTGTTATATCAAATTCTGCAGCCAAAAAAGCGGTGAATGTTTTTGTTTCTCTCTCTCTACCGGTCGAATAGCCATAATGTAGTGCAGTGAGTTAACAGCTGAGGATAATTTCAGCTTAGGGATGCTGAAGTCATTTTTTGGAATATCATTTTTTGAAAAGTGGTCCACTATAAATATCAGTACTAAAAATATTTACACTTATGGCGTTTAGCTGTACGCAGCTCTGGATATTTCTCTACTAGCAAACTGATGACTTTCCGAACTCATAGATGATTAAGCTCTACCATAATTTTTCAGAAGTGGATCTGATGGAATTCCCGGCAACTAAATGTTTTCTTGTGCTCTGGAAAAAAGAACAGTCACTTTGTGTGCTTCGAGTAGTTGATGAACGTTGTTCAGCTCGGATATCACACTTGCTAGTTCAGCAATGATCGTTGCGCTGCTGTCTTTCGACAATGAACGCCGCCTCTCATCCTGAACAACAAGTTCTAGTTTTGGCAAATATTTTGCCAAAAAAAAGCCAGTAGGCTGTTTTTCCGAAAATGATGCTAAAATAGTGGCCTACTTTTTTTACTTTTCTATGAATGCACCATTTTGTGAATCCAAAACATATACATGCCTCAAATTTTTTGAAAAACGTGATATGTAATATAGTACCTTTTGAGCGTTGTCAATTTTCTCGATCTGTTTGCAAATACGATTGGTTTGTGCCTCAACAGATGCGAGCACTTCGCAACATTGCTCAATCTGCAAGCCAGATACATTCATGTCGTCCTCTCAATAGGTATGATTCTCGGATGAAACAATAGCTTCATTCAGTCTCTCATTCGCATACGTAATCAAAAATGACTGTTTTTTGAGCGCTGATAATAAAACGAAAGATATGTGCCGGTTTTCTGCAGCTGCATCTACATCTTGATACTTTCCTCATCCCAGGATGCCCGAAGGAGATCTTCTTCTACACGCGGGGGAAATCATAAGTCTTCACACATTTAAAACAATTTTTAGAAAACTTAAAGAACTGCATCAAAGTACATGCAGCTACAACTGTAAAACAGAAGTGTTGAAAGTCTTCAGGGTTAACTATTTTCAGAAAATACGAGCGCGCTAGTTTTAATGCGCCCTTGATCCAAAAAAACAATTTTTTTGAAACTTATTGGGTTCTCCGAGATTTCTAATTTTTTCGGAAAAAAACTAATTTTTCTTAGCTGTAACATACTTTGCGAACCAAAAATGCATTTTAGCAGTGACCATTCTTTAGATTTTTCACGATTTTTCGCAGCTCTTCTAGCTGTTGCTAAATGACTTGAAAAGCAAAATTCAAGACTCCACATCAACAAACATCTTCACTGTTTCATTACCTGCCAGTTGCAGTGCACGCTGCAAACTGTGTAAAAGAAAAAATCTGAACAATAGACCTCATCGGTGGTTGCGCTATCAATCTGCAGGCCAGTGACCGCGACACTAGCTTTTTGTTCACTGAGTCGGCGTTCCAGATCTTCACACTTGTGCTTCAGCGCATCCTCAAAAATCCAATTTCTTTAACTGGCATAGCTTTTGCATCACTGCAGATCACAAATTAATATCACAGTTGTGCTGTAATCTGAGTACTATGTAAGTTTATACTGCCAAATTTTAGATTTTTACAGAAAACGATGAGGAAGTAATGAGACTGTGTGAGGTTTTAGTAAGAGGAAGAAATGTTGAAAAGCATCATTTAACTAATTTGTTAATCAATTAGTGATTAGTATTTCTGAAGCCAAAAAGGTCTAATGGAAAAACGAACAAAAACTTATCTAATGAAAGTGCTAAACTATTCTTAGAAGCACTGCCGTATAACGTAGGCCTCCTAGTAAAGGAAGAAGGGTGATGAGTTCCGCGCATGAAGTTCTTTCTTGCAAATGAATATGGGCTGGAAAGGATCTAACCACTCATCTTCACATCCTAACGCGACGTGCTAGATTATCGTGCCATCCGCCTTTGCACAAGGGGCAATACCCTATATTTATCTGGTTAGTTACTGTGCCCTGTGCAGCACAACTTCCAGTAGCTGCCGGCTTTTTGCAGGACTTTCGTGACAAAGAGCACATCTTTGTTCCAATCTCCTATCCACTGCTGGTAAAAATTTTAATTTCAGAAGTTCCTGTTTGTCTGAAAACTGCTTACCATATAAGCGGTATGAGAGCTTCCCTCCTTGACGATTTTCCGATGCAGATTTGCACAGCGATCGTTTACGAGTAATAGCTGGTTGTTCAGCAGCTCAACCTTAATTCATTCACGTGATAAAACTGAGTACTAATCAACCACTTACGGAGTCAAAATTTTCTTCGTTTAGAATAAGTGGTGTATGGTTATCTGCTATATCACTAGAATCACCGATTAATCGTTAGTCGTTTTAAGCATCAAGTACGTGGTAAAAAACTCAAGGACGAGTCCCAGGAAAGGTACCTACCTTTGTGGCCATTGAGATGAGCTTTTGGTTGTCCGATTGCAGCATCATCTTTTTCAGCTCCATCAACTCGTTTTCCATGATTTTTTTATGTTCTCTCTCTATGCGCAACTCAGCCTGAGCTAAAAAAATCTTTTTTTCAGAAGACTGGTGCGAGTTGGAAAAAAAATGCATTTGCGGAAAAAACCCATTTCAGCAGACATTTAGATTTTCATTAGAGAATTTTGGTAGCAAGAAGAAAGTGAGTTCTCAATAAATAATATTAAGACTAATAGCCAGAGGCGTCTAAATTTTCGGCATGTGGCCAGGCGGAAAATGAAAAATGTCAGAATTGACTCAGCACCTTGTTTCTTAGCCACATAAGGGGTGTAATCGCTTTCAGCGACAACGTTCACGGTATCACAAAACGGCCACCTGTGACTTTTATAGAACTAGCGCCCTAGCGTGGTGGAAAATGGAAGCGAGCCAAGAGGAACAGAACGCGCTCCATCTAACTTTTCAAAAAAAAAACTAAATTTTCCGAGAAAGTTAGTATTCTACGTTCATATCAATAGTCTCTATACGTGGCGCGCATGCATCGAACAAGCTGTGGATACCAATTGAAGGTGTGTAGCTAGGATCGATGGAGCTGACACAGCAAGTAAGAAAATTTCAGTAATATTATTAAAATGGAGTACCTACACTGACTGTGAAGGCGGTCTTCGCATAGTTAGCAAAAATTTTCATTCACTCACAGATTTGTCCAAAAATGCCTTTCAAAAAATCTGAGCACGTCCCTACATACAGATGAGTGCAGCGAAAGTAGAACTGACAAGTTTTAAATGCAAGCAGAAACAAAACGAGCATTTTTCGGACGGCGTTGATGAAGTCACTTCATTTTGCTTTTTCAGTTGCAGTGACAGGTCAAGGTTTTTTCGCTCCAACTCACTAATTGTTGTCATCAGCTTACTGATATCCTTCTGCATTTCTGGCGAGATGTCGAACTGAGACGCCTGAAGAAGACAGAAAAAATGCAACTTACAAAACACCGAGTGGTAGAAAAACTTGAACTTTTCCTGAGTGTCTAAATATTGCATCAAGCCTATTAGCAGAATGTTGGGCAATACTTAATTCCTCTAAATCGTTCCGCTTTAAATTTTGCTTGAAAACTAAGCTAACGAAAAAAAGTACAATAAGCTGAGTAGTAAAAAGGTTTACCTTTCCGTTTACCGTTTCACTGCTTTCAGTATTCTTCTTTGAATCTAATTCCAGCTCCAGAATCCTGGAATGAAACTCGAATACTCTCAATTTTATTTTT